GAAACTCAAAAACCCATTTTGGGTTTGAGTTTGCAGTACCATTGGAAAGATTTTCCCCCATTTTTTGCGTTTTGCCGCTCGGTTGGAGACGGTCTAAGCCTCAGCGAGGATAAGTCATTGTTGTACTCGGCGTCGTGGGATAAGACGGTTAAGGTGTGGAGGGTCTCGGATTCGAAGTGCTTGGAGTCGATTTCGGCGCACGAGGACGCGGTGAACTCCGTGGTGGCGGGTTTCGACGGGCTGGTTTTCAGCGGGTCGGCGGACGGGACGGTGAAGGCGTGGAGGAGGGAGGTGCAAGGGAAGGCAGGGACGAAGCATTTCTTTTCGAGGACTCTAGTGAAGCAGGAGTGTGCGGTGACGGCGCTGGCGGTGGATCTGGCAGCGGGGGTGCTGTACGCGGGGTCGTCGGACGGGCTGGTGAACCTGTGGAGGAGGGAGAGGTTGATGGCGCACGGAGGGGTGCTGAGGGGGCACAAGCTGGCGGTGCTGTGCCTGGCGGTGGGAGGGGATCTGGTGTTCAGTGGGTCGGCGGACACGAACATATGCGTGTGGAGAAGGGAGGGGGAAGGCCACGCGTGCCTGTCGATACTCAGGGGGCACACAGGGCCAGTTAAGTGCCTGGCGGTGGAGGAGGAAGGAGCCGGGGGCGGAGGTGGGAGTGGGGCGAAGCAGTACGTGGTGTATAGTGGGAGTCTTGATAAGTCGGTGAAAATATGGAGAGTATCTGGGCAGGTGCCGGCGCCGGCGCCGGAGAATAGCGTTGACGGTAATTGCGTGCCGTCGGCGACGAGCTTCTCGTCGCAGCAGAGTAGTGGTATTAGGACGGGTGGGCAAAAGAGAAACTACTGAGTGGTTATGGTCGGTGATTAAATTGGGGGAATTCTTTTGATTGTGTATTTTATTTATGGAAACATTACTTTATATTGCTATATTTTTAATTCGATTTGACTAGTAGATGCGTATAAATTATTATTATTATTATTATTATTATTATTATTATTATTATGAAGTGGTAAAAAGAAAAATGCTTGGAAAAAATAAAGGTAAAATTATGAGGTGTGGTTTCGCGTAATTTGAAGACTAATTGTGTGACTAATTGACTAGTGAACTTGTTTTATTGCATTTAATGATCAAAATGTAATTAGGGCTTGATTAACGAATATTTAAGAACATGTCACATCATGATTACCGACAATGTCAGTTTTCCAGCATTAATGAATGGTCGCAATTTGGACTTAGTTTGATTTGGATTTTTTTTAAACAAACGCATAATTATATTAAAGGAAAAGACTACAGTCACGTCACAGAATAGTTTCGTGAGGGATTTTAGCCTTTAAATATGTATGCAAGTTAGTTATTATAGATAATATATGACTAAAATTTCTCACGGAACTATTCCGTGACGAGACTGCAATCTTTTCCTATATTAAAAACTAAATAAAACTAAAAACAAAATACATTCCAGGTGTCAATGACACCACAAAATTGGCTCAAAGCTTACACAAACAACCAAATGGATACAAATAACTGAATAAGAAAAGCACTCCAAAAAAGAGAGAACAACTCCACACTGAAGGCTAGAACCAGACCAGTTAAATTATAAACATAAAACTAAAAATTAAAAATTAAAATAAAAATAAAAGCAAAAGACAACCACAACACATAGCTACACGATACAGTAAAGCCCTTGTCACAACTCTCCAACACCACTCACATCTTCCGCAGGAACAACGACATACGACAATCCAAGAAAGACATGTACACGGCCCGACACGGGACAAGAAACTTCAAACTCCTTAACTTGTTAGGCTAAAGCTAATTTGCTCCGAATTGACAATAACTGAGACATACTTTCAAACGAACCATCTCTAGATATCTTAAACACTCTATCACATGTCGAATACCGTGCAGAGAGCACGAAGAGTTTGAGTTCACATCCCAACAAAAAAAACAAGGATCAAATGGAACCAGCTACGTAAAAAAGTGACATAAAATTTTAAAATATGTGGACTTTTTTTTGTCTATTTTTGTATGCTTTCAGTTGCTTCACGTTCGACCTAGTTGGGTTCTTTTAATTTAGGGCCAAAATTTTTGAAATTGTTTGTACAACCGGATTGATTAATTTGGGTTATGTGTTGGGTGATACAATTTTATTAACATGGATTGAATGCTTGAGAGTACATTGATTGGAAAGTACGTTGGTTATGAAAAAAATTCGACATAACTATTTGTTACAAATTGATGAGTCTTTTTCGAGATTATAGATGGTAACGACTTCAATAGAAAATATTCTAGTAAATAAGTCGGGCGAAGCGCAATGGCCCATTGAAAATGAGTGGGCATTTCTGGGTTTAATGTCGGACGAGGTGTTGAAGGGTAACTGTAACACCCCGCCTAGACTTACTAAAATCAAAGTAAATTTTCGCGCTATAAAAGGAAAAGACTGATTTAATTTTTGAAAACTCATATTAATTTTTTGAAAATACTTTAACTTTAATATGCGGGATGCTAATCAACTTTAACCTTAAATCTTTAATCTTTAATATCTTTAAACTATTAGGCATGCAACCGAGTATAATCCATTACTCGAATAAGGCGCCATAAACATCTCAGGATGTAATCATGCATAGTTTGAAATACTGAAATACTATTCTGAAATTCTGAACAACTGAAATGCTAGTGTGAAATTCTGAACTACTGAAATACTAGTCTGAAGTCCTGAAATTCTAATCTGAAATCCTGAAATACTAGTCTAAAATTTTGAAATATTGTTCTAGAATGCGGATGCAAATATATGTTCAAACATCAAGGGCATACAAGCAATCAGTGAAACATAACTAAGGCATAAATAAATCAAACAATACAAAACATAACATAACACAAATATCCTGACTGATGACCAC